GAAAGGAGAGACACCGGCGAGGCTACAGAGCCACGGCGGAGGGGGGGGGGAGGGGATGGAGGCGCAAAAGCAGGGTCAGCTACCAGACAGCACCAGGGCCAGGGAAGGCAGCTCCGCGGCCAGGGCGGAAGGAGACCGCAGCAGGGGGAAAGCAGCGAGGCAGCATACTCAGCGAACAAATCTTGCACTTGGACCAAACATGGATGGACTCCAGCGACCCCGGGATGGGGGAGGGATTCTTGCTTGTCCGAACCGCCACCCGGGTGTTCCCATGGGCGAAGGTGCGCGTGTGAAGTAGGTATGGCTGCGTGCAGGCAGTGCAATAGACCGTCCGCGGGCGGTTGCTGTCGCTGGCCGAACTCCCGGCGAAGGGGGCCGGCATGGCTTGCTGGCAAATGTCCACGATGAAGTGCCCAAGCGTCATGTCGCGGTCTTTTTTTTTTTTTTTTTTTTGGCCCCCCCGCCCCTCCTACAAGTCAGCAAAGGGGGATGGGGAATTGTCGAGCATGGAGGCATGAAGTGCGCGAAGGACCGGGGCGAGCGAGCGGACGAGGGAAAAAGAAAGAAGGGCACGCAAAGCAAGCGCCACCAATGCCCCCGCAGACGCACAGCTATTAATGACAATGGTCAGCAGGCTCGGCGGGCGGCAGGGGGCACGCGCGCCCGGCGCATTTCCGACACTGGTCAGCAGGGAGATGCACCCGCGTGACAGCGGCCGCAAGGTGGGCAGAATGGCCTGGAGCCGGGCATCTCGCATGCAGAGCTCATGCTCGGCATTCTGAATGGTGGCCGCCCGGCGGAAGAGATCCAACACTTGGGCCTCGGACAGGGACCCAAGGTCCAGAGCCCCATCCGGGGCCGGCACCAGCGGGAAAGACTCGGACCAGGGGCTCTCAAAGGCGGCCTCCATGCCGGCCGGGTGCCCAAGCAGCACCCGGTCCAGGGCCTGGCGCAAGCACTTCGACAGGGGGAAGGCCACCGACGGCGAGGAGGAGAGAATGGTATCGCGACTGGCCCGGAGACTGGTGGCGACACTCACCGGCAGGCGCGCCCCGGCCGGCGCTTGGCCATCTACCAGCAGCAAGTAGTCCAACAGAACCTGGTGAAGGGCATTCCGATAGGCCAAGCGGAAGCCCTGTTTGGCGGCCATCGCCCGAATGCGCTGGATGGCAGCCCGCGGCCGGGCCAGGGGATCCCCCCCTGCCAGGTCGCTTGGGCTCCCATCCAAGGACCCCTCCGCCCAGAGGGCCAGATCCACAGCCAGAGACCGGACCACCGGTCGCGCCGGGGTCATGAACATGTCGGCCCGCAGGGCGCTCTCCCGGACCATGGATACCACCGTGTGGAGGAGGAACAGCAGGACATTCTTCACCCGAGTCAGCTCGGCGGCCGGGGCCCCGCACAGGACCACGGTCCCGACGCGGGTTTCCCCGCGCCCGGTCAGGAAAGTCAGGGTTTTCACGCCGGACCCCGTGCCAGCTCGGACACCCACCCGATGGTGAGACACGAAAACCGCCTCGCACCGGCCCAGGGCCACGGACGGCTTTCGGTCAATCCAATCCACCACCTCGGCCCCGGTCAGGCGCGACAGCAGCTGCAAGATGCGCGGCTTCACATGCGTGAAGATGGCCGGCGGCGAGGGGTCCTGCCGCAGGAGCATGTCGATCCCCAGTCGGCTGGCGCTTCCGCCAAGGAAAATGGCATCCGGCCGGTTGCGATACAGCAGCGCGATCATCGATCGATGGTACTCCACCTCTCGATCATTGATGGTGAGCTCCATGTGCCCGGGGCCAAGGCTGGGGCCCGGACCGGAGCCGGGGCCGGAGCCCGGGCTGGGGCCAGAGCCAGAACCGGAGCCGGGGCCGGAGCCGGAGCCGGAGCCGGAACCCGAGCCGGTGTCAACCGACTCGCCACCAGGGCCCGTGGCACCGGGACTTCCGGACCGGGCCCCTGAGCTGGGCGGCCCGAAGGATGAGGCGTGTCGGGAAAAATCGAAGCCATTCTTCAGCAACAGCACCCGGGGCTCGGCCACGAAGCTTGGCATCTTCCGGTGCGCTAGATCCTTGGAAAAGACCAGGCCCCCGACAAAGTCCGAGCGGCGGCGCATGGCCAGGCTCCCGGCGGCAGATTGGCCCCCGGCCTCCGGCCCGGGCGCTGTCGCCGGACACAGGGGCAGCTTCTTCACGTGGATGAACTGCCGCGCGAAGAGAGCCTGCTCTGTGCGGGCCCTCGACCGGAGCATGGTTTGCGCCGCCGGCGCCAGCAGATGGCACAAGATCACGGCCCAATCGAGAGCCAGCCGCTGATTGACAAGAAGCTGGGCCAGGAGCCGCAAGAAGTGATCCAGCATGTCGGGCTCCAGCATGTCCAGCAGCCGATGCGACCAGGAGGGCGCAAAGCAGGCCAGCTCTCGGCGAACGAGGGCCTCCATCACATCCCCCGGGGGCGGGGCTCCCGGGACCGCATTCAGATCCAGCTTGGCGGCCGCAAGCTCGGCCGGGGTAACGGGTGCCGGCTGGCGGGGGGATGGCCGCTTCGTGGGGGCCGAGGTAGCCGCGGTCGATTGATCGGAGGACGACGTGGCAGCCGGCGATTTGGCCGGAAGCGGCGTCTGCGTCGGGGGCCCGCGGCCCGCCGAGGAGAGCACGCCCTCGGGAGAAGTCGGTGTCCGAAGCAATTCCGGGCCCGAGGCCATCGGCTGATTGGTGGACAGGCGGAGATGGCTTCGGGGGGTGTGGTGTAATTTTTTTTTTCATCGGGAGCAGCCCGGCGGAAAAGGAAAGGGAATCGAGGCGGGGTGAGAAATGTCCCAGAGAGGCAGACACAGGAGGCGGCGTGGCAGGAGCTGGGCATACCTCAGGGCCAGGCGGGTGCGCAGGTGCGAGGCCGGGCCGATGGACGTGGGGACTTGGAATCGGACCAAAGTGTCCTTTTGGGGGGGAACCAGAACCGGCGTCTGGCGAGGAAGAGCAAAGTCCGCGAGGCTGTTCGGGTTCGTTCGGAAGGCCAGTCGAGGTCGAGGGTCCACGGGAGCCGGCGCGTCGGTCAGCGCGCCGGGATCCGGCCGCGGGGCCAGATACGAGTTGATGTGCACCCCGAAGGTGACATGTGAGAAGGGGATCTTCGAGCGGGATAGCAGCAGGTATGCGGCAGACGCGGCGGAAGACAGGTCAATCCCCAGCGCCGAGTTGGCCAGACGCCGCGAGGCCAGGATGCGTGTCAGCCCGCCAGCCGGCGAGATCGGAAGAGCGTCGTGATGTGCACCCCGAAGGTGACATGTGAGAAGGGGATCTTCGAGCGGGATAGCAGCAGGTATGCGGCAGACGCGGCGGAAGACAGGTCAATCCCCAGCGCCGAGTTGGCCAGACGCCGCGAGGCCAGGATGCGTGTCAGCCCGCCAGCCGGCGAGTCTAGCGAGAAGATTGGCACCGGGGCATCCGGGCACCGAGGCACCGGCCCCAGCAGGGCCATGTCGCCGACGATCGAGGAGCAGTGGAAACTGCGGGATTGGGTCAGGAGGGTGGCGCGCCAAAGGGCAAGGCAGCAGGCGTGCCTTCCTGCCCTTGAAGGGGAGGGGGGGGGGGCGGGAAAGAAGGGAACACGCAGCAGGGGCAGGGCCCGCGCACCAGAGTCGACTGACGGAGCTGTGATCGAGACTGTCACCGGGAAAGGCGGCGGCCGGGTCCAGGTGGATGATGGCCGAGGTGGTGCAACTCGCACAGAAATCCCGCACACACACATGGCAGGGGACCCTGTTTCAGGGGTCGGCGGGGCCCAGGGAGCAGGCCGAGGGGCGACGAACGGGCCAACAGCCGGAGGGACAGCCAATCGGAGGGTTGGCAAGCAGCAGGGGGGCGAGGATGGAAAATGAGGGCAACCAAGGAGTGAGGAAGGCGCCAGGGGGGGGGGGAAAGAGCATCGACGCGGGGTCGGCCAATCGAATGGCACGCACTGGCGACGAACACCGGTGAAGCGCTCCCCACACGAGGAGCAGGAGTCATCTGTGGCTGGCCGCGTGGAGATGGAGAGATCGGCCCCGTGCGGCCAAATGGCCCGAAGGGCGGCCACTGTCTGGAAGAAGCTGCAAGCGGGAAGTCAGACAGGATGCCAGCAAGGAAGATTCCCCCACCAAAGGGAAGGCCAAGGAGGGGAATCACAAAGGCGGAGGGGCGACACACGTTTCCGGCTCCTCGAAAAACTCCCCCTCCGGCGTGAGGGGCTCCTCCGGCGCCAGTTCCGCCGGCCGTTGAGCCGTGCACAAGGCCTCAAGGTCAGGTGGGGGAAATCCGCCCGCAGCCGAGGCGGGATCCAGGGTTGCCTCCAAGCCGGGGCCAGAATCCGGCACGACAGTCGACCGCGGGACGAACAGCGGCGGCGGGAAGGAAGTCAACTGCGTGGAGCTCGATGCGTGGTCCAGCGACGCGTGTCCGGCAAACGACCCAGCATGAGATGCCTCATCGGTGGGCGAGAGGAAACCCATGAGGGAGGAGAACGAGCTCGCGATAGACGAGGAGTCTGCGGCAGGGCCCGGGCCCGGGCCCGGGCCCGGGCCATGAGACGGCCGACCAGCCGTGCCGGGGCCCGGTGCGGCCAGATCAGCCGAGGGGGCATCCCCCAAAAAGAGCAGCCGCCGTAGGACACCAAAGGCCGACGAGGCGCCCGAGTCAGCCGGTGCCCCGGGGTTAGAGTCGGCCGCCGACTGGGGCGGCGGGGCCTGGCTCATGGAGGCGCAGGAAAAAAGGGGTCACAGAAAGTATCCGTGTGTGTGTGTGTATGTGTATGTGTGTGTGTGTGTGTGCGCGTATGTGGGAGGGAGAAAAGAGGAGAAGGGGGGGAGAGGAGAAGGGGGGAGAGGGAGCGGCAATACAGGAGCCGGTTTGAGGCTCAGCGGCATCGTCGGCCCTTAAGAAAGGCCTCTCCGCGGACGCAATCTCCCCTGGCCCCAACCCAGGGAAGGATGCCCGCCCACCACCCCTCGAACGCGCACATACTCCCCCCCC